TTCGGAAAATAAAAAAAATTGTATGATAGTGTTACACCCAGACTCACAAAAGAAGAAAAAGGGCGTAACTACTTATCTCAAACAACGCCAGACAGTGCGTGTTTGACTCGAGCGAACATGCTGAGGGCCCAAGTCTGGTAAACGATGTGAAGGGTCGATTTTACTCACAATTAGTTAAAGGGCTGTTTGTTCGACGGCTTGCTTTTGGTAAAGGAATTTAATCCTTTTTACACAGGATTAGTGCAATCTCGAGATGATAAGAAACGAGATGGTTATTAAGAAATTACCAACAGTTTTATAATAAGAATAATTCATTCATTCAAATAAATTTGATAAGAAAAAAATACACATTAAGTGAACAATTAATTTAATTTTACGACACGGGTAACCATTAATGTGAGTTCGAAATGCACGTGTTTGGGTGTGTCTTTCGTAGGTGTTACATCGAATATGGGAGTCTTCAATCAGGAAAAAGAGGGGGAGAGTTTATTGTTTAAAAATATTTGAGTCCTGATTGGTTATTACAAATATTGTTTTAATAACTAACTAAAAAGTAAACGTGTGCGTGTTCTCAGGAGTCATAAGATGGAGAGCGGTGATAAAATTTCAGGAGAACGTGGGCGGGGACGGCCAAAAGACCTGGATCCGAGAATATACCATGCAACGATGTTATTTGGCGCGGTGCGTATCAAAAAATGTCGTAAGGCTTCATGATTTGCGGATTCTGGTCTGATAATAAAAGTTCCCTCGGGTATTTCTTTTACTCTGGAGACTTGATTAATTAACCAAGTTTTGAACAAAGAGAGAAAAAAAGAGAGCGAGAGAGGGGGGAGAGAGAGAGAGAGGGGGGGGATGGGAGAGAGAGGAAGTAGGGGAAGTGGAAAAAGGAGGGAGGGAGGGGGAGGGCAAGCGGGCGGGCGGCAGGAAGGAAGAGGGAGAGAGAGTGAGAGAGAGAGATCTTTATTAGCCTTCTCAGCTATTTGTAAAATACAAATCTAATTAACATTAATTACAATAAACTCCTTTAACGCTCACTTAAACGCTTCAAACTCATCAATTCGTCTCATTTCAGCTGGTAAAGTATTGAACATTTTCCTCCTTCATAAAACATACTCCTTCATAAAACATACTCTTTTATGCCTTTGTTGTTCTGCAGATTGCATTACAATGTTCCCGGCTTATCGCGTCTGTCTTTCACTCTTGTATCCCACTACTGTTAACTTATTTCTTAATTGATCCGGTAACATATTCCTCAAAATTTTAAAAATAAATATAGACACATTATAATATAACCTTTGTTTTACGGACATAAACTGCAGCGTTTACAGCATACGTTCTACTTTGGTATATCTATCACATTGCAATATGACCCCTCATAACCCGGTTCTGCGCTTTTTGCAACTCATTCAGCTGTGTTTCTTCCATATCAATTAACAGCGTCGCTCAGTACTCAAAGTGAGGCGCTATGATTGATTTATATATAATACATCTAATGTATGCCAATATATAGTTACCTATTCTATTTTAAAAACTCATCTTTTTTCCTATTTTCTTTAGCATGTAATTACAGTGGTCCTTAAATCTTAACCTATTATCAATAATTATGCCCAGATAATTCATTCTTTCCACACGCTCTATTTCTGTTTCGTCCAAATATTCCAATGTAATGTTACTTCTCAGTTCTTTTCTTATATTTCGAACTATCATATATTTCGTTTTCCCTGCGTTCATTTTCAGCTTATTTGTATTCATCCTTCCACTGCAACAAATGCCATATTTATTTTTTTTTTTTTCTAATTCTAATTAAAACTTTATTACTAAATACTAAATACTAATATATATTACTAAATATATTAAGCTTTCATAACAGTCTCTCGTATATAATAGCCTTCCTGACATATTTATATACAAGTCAAAATAATTACAAGAGTATAACAGAGAGATGTGCAGCAGTTCTTTGAAATCAGGCATGCATTTTTTATTGTTTGTGAGGATAAATAAGCAAATGTTTATAGAGCTTCAGTTTAAAATCCTTCAATGATTTCGCTATCCATATTTCAGTAAGGAGTTCATTTCACTGTAAAAGTGCACTTTTCCCGACGCGCAGATGGCTCGCTGAGACCCCTATCAGGGTTCGGGAAGAGGTTCGGGCCGGAAATTTTGGTCCGGCCTCGATACTCCTGAGCCATGTGAATGCGTACAACCTCGAACGCTTTCTCTAGTTGACGGTGGTGAACGTCAGGAGAACTGCAGAAGTTTGTGGTTTTCGATCTTCTGGGTTTGGTTTGGATAGTTCCCACCCATGTAAAAGATAGGCTGGCGTGTATCCCGTGGCCTTAAATCTAGCAGTGTTGAATGCAAACTGCAATGCCCCGATATGCTCGTCTTATTTGCGGTGCTTTTTCCCGACGTACTGGGAGAACGTAGTTTTTATCGTGCAGTTGGTTCGTTCAACAAGGTTACAATGTGATGCATATACCGGGGAGGTCCTGTGCCATATGCCAAGCAGTCTTTGAACCGCACCGATGTGAACTGAGTGCCATTGTCCGAGATTATTTGATATGGGCATCCATATCGGTACACGATGCGCTGCGTGACTTCCCGGGCGAGGGCGCCAGTCGCCCAGATGTACCATCTCAGAGGTACCATCTCTAATCACTTGCTAAATTGATTCTGCAAAATTAGAAGCCACGTGTGTTCGTTCGAGGAGCGGGGCATGGGCCCTATCAGGTTGACGGTTACTTGCAGCTACGGTGTGGACACTGAAGTCGCGTGGAATCCCCGCCGGCTTTTGTTGCAGTGTTTTGTGCGCCAGACAATTCGGGCATTTACGCACATATCGGGCTATCTACCGGAACAGCTCTGGCCGATAATACAACTGGACTACGCGTGCGATAGTTTTGATTATCCCGAAGTGTCCTGCTGTAGGGTCGTCATACAGCTGGTGCATTATCTTGCCCGGGTTAATGCCGGATCATCGCCGGATTATTTGATCGTTTTGTATAGTCGAAAAATATTCGGGCGGACGGACCCTAATTCCGTTCTGAAGGTACTGATACCACCTGTCGACGGGCTCTAGCGCGGCCGCGTTCGTTTCTGGAGTACGTGAGAGAGCGTCGGCTACTCCATTAAAAGCTCCTTTTCGATACCGGATGTCAAAATCGTGCTGCTGCAGCTCGAATAGCCACTTCCCTAGCCGACCCGTAGGAGATTCTAGTTGTTGGTGCTAATGCAACGCTTGGTGATCAATTAGAACAATGAAACGGTACCCTTCTAACAATAAGTAGTTCCGGCGGATCCTCCATATTACCGCCAGACACTCACACTCAGTCGCACTATAGTTGCGCTCCGCTTAATTTAAGGTTCGGCTAGCATATGCTATGACACGTTCTCCCTTTGCGAAGTGCTGGGTCAACACTGCTCCGAGGCCGTGCTCCGAGGCGCTGGCATACGTTTGCAGCAAGAACGGGCTATCAAAATCCGGACAAGCCAAAACGGGTGTAGTACTTAGCGCTTATTTGAGAAAGTGGAATGCGGTGGTCTCACGGTCTGTTCATGCCTAGCGGGCGCCCTTCCAGGTAAGCTGCGTAAGTGGCGTGGCAATTGTGGAGAAGGCCGGTATAAATCGCCGGGACCAAGAGACTATTTCTAGAAATTGGCGGATTTTCTTAATGGTCGTAAACGTGGGCCAATTAGTGATAACACTCACTTTATCGGGATTAGTTCGTATGCTTTGTCTATCCACGATGTAGCCAAGGTATTTCAGGCTGGTACGACAGAAGTGGCATTTATCTCGATTTATTCGGAGCCGGGCCTTCTGTAACAGCCGAAATCAGCCAATTTTCTATATTTTTTTCATCGGATATGAATTCTGTAAGTTAAATTTTTAAACAAAATTAAAAGTATAGAAAGAATATACGCTGTGCGAGACTAATGCTTAGCCATTCGCTAAGTCGAAAAACAATCTCGAAATTGAGATTTGAATTTCTCTTTCCCTTTTCCCTCCTAAATTGATGAAAACAAAAAAAATATATCGGTCCGAAAAAGTCGGCTAAATCGGGAATCGAACCCAAGACCTTTCGCTTTTTAGGCGACTGCTCTTTCCAACTGAGTTATGCAGATATCTTAACAAACCGATATACCTTTCTTGTCTAAATGTATACTAAAGAATCACGCATATTTACAGCCAACATGTAATAAAATTAAAAGTACTCATGACTCACAACGTCCTCCATAGACAAAGTGCAAAATGCGAAATACAGGTAGCAGAACTGCCGGGGTTTTTATGATTTTGTGATCGTGTGTGGAGGCCGCAGTCACAGTCAAATGGCAACCTAACCTTTTTTTTACGACAGGAATGTGCTTACACATATCCGCCACTTCGGGGGAAGCTTTAGATTATGTGGGGATAGTTAACGTTAAATAACAAAAGAAAAGCTGAAGGTTCTCCCCCGACCCACTAAACCCGTTGGCAGTCCTCTATCTGGCGTTATTGTGGGTATCCTGGGAATTGCTCTTCGCATGCGCACAGAACACCCACTGCCCGGCACACCGATTCAAAATGTGCTTTATCCTTCGACCTGACCCAGAAGGGACTAGATCGGGTAGAGAGGAGTGGGGACCACGACCACTCCTCTCCTCCTCAATGGGAGGCCGCGTGCAATGAGTTCAAGGGCCCCCGCCCTTGTAACCCTGCAGCCTTCCGGACCCCGGTTCTGCCACTCCCTTCTGCCCCATGGGGGTTGGGACTCGGCGACAGAACCGGGGGCCCCTTCTTCGAAAAGGGAATCTCTTTTGCGAGAGGGAGGAGACTTTGACTGCATGGCAGCCCACGTCCCCTTCGTCCCGCTTCCTTTGATAGCTCGACAGGCCAAGCTTCCTCCATTCCCATAGGGGTTTGGATTCGGCTGTGGCTCGTCAAGCCCTGCTCATCGAGGACAGCGCTGTCCGGTGGAACAGAGTCATCCTCCAACAGGTCGGGGAGGGGGGGGGGAATCCGGTCAGCGAGCTGTCCTTTGTTCCCCCTGACCCATCTGCCTCTCTCTTTCATTCTCTCTCTCCTCACTGCATTCTCGCAAATGCTCTTCGCCTTGCGCCTCCTCTTCTTCTTCTTTCCGGGTCTGCCCCCGGATCGTTTTCTCTCTCTCTCTCTTAGCCATCTTCTTTCTGGTCAGTACCTCTTCACAGAAGGTTGCCACTGCCTTCCACTTCTTCTTAGACTCCAACATCGCCTTCACTACTTCCCGTAAGGATAGTCCCTGTCCGATAACCCCTCGTAGTTCTCTCCTCTGATCCTCCCATGCCGGGCAGAACTCGATGGTGTGTTGTGCCGTGTCCATTCTGTCATCGCAGTGGTGGCACTTGGTTGTCTTCTCCCTGCCCGTTTTGTTGTGCAGGTACTCACCAAAGCAACCATGCCCAGTGAGCACTTGCACCACCCTGTATGATAGGCTGCCATGCGGCCTATTCAACCATTCCCCCAGGACAGGCTGGATAGCTTCTATCGTTCTGATACCTGCCCTTGGACGAGTAAGTTTGTCCCTCCATACTTCGATAGCATTTTCTCTCGCTTGTCCCTTAGCTATCTCTAACTCCTTTGGTGAGAGTTTGATCTCTCTTTCTTGCAACTCTCTCTTTATTTTATAGAGAGCCTTATACGCCTCTGCTAGCAAAGTCCATCCGGATAACACGCACGCCGCTTCTTCCGGGATCGTTCTGTATCCGCGGGCTATCCTAATGGCTAGTCTCCTTTGAGACTCGCTCAATAGTCTAATGCTGCCGACCACTCCAGACGGGAGCCCCGTAAAGAGCCATAGACCCCACTGCTCCCATATATAGCCTTCTGATCTTTTCTCTTGGCCCCCCTATATTAGGCAACAATCTGCCTATCCCATTTATCGCATTTCTAACGCTAGGGACCAGCCGTTGGAAGTGATCTTTCCACTTCCATCTACAATCCAACGTGAGGCCCAGATATTTCATGCTAGGTCCCACGTTTATTCTGATTCCCTCGATTTCTAGATGGGACTGGGGTGGCTTGCCTTTGCAAGATTCTATAAAATACATGGCCTCCGTTTTCTCCAGAGCCACCCTCAAACCAAGTGTCCTGATTCTTTTCACCACTAGGGCTACATTTACTCTAGCTCGTATAGCCGCTTCCCCCTAAGAGTCTCCCCGGGCGAGCACCAGCGTATCGTCAGCGTAGCACACTAGGTGCACGCCCGTCAGGAGAGCCCCGCGCAAAACCCAGTTGTAACCGAGGTTCCACAGGAGTGGTCTTAGGACCGACCCCTGCGGAACTCGGCAATTTACTTCCTCCTCGTATTTTCTTTGATACTTTCCCTTATACGTGATTTTTCTAACCTGTAGATAATTATGGATAATATCTTGTAGGTATTGAGGAATCCCATGATACCTCAACGCTTCCCTTATGCACTCCCAAAATGGCAACCTAACCTAACCTAACCCGTGAATCGTTCCAATCAATGTGTAAGACAACAATGATCGAATGATTGGGTTAGTGATCGCGTAAGTTTCCGAAAATGCAGTCAAATCTAAATCTGATAATCTGTGATATGCCTAAGATATAAATTGTATCTGCCTACGGCTGCGACGCTGCGATTTTTGTGCTTGTTTGCACCAACCTGTGACTTGAACCTGTCTTGAATTAAAATTCTGGAACAATGGATAGGTAGGTGTTTGTTGTGGTTGTTACAAATTGCAAAATGTTAATTTTATTCTTTTTACAATTTTATTCATTACAGATTTGTTAAACGAAATAAAATTAATAAACTTGGCTTTTGTCAACAAAATAAAACATATAAAATGCGACACAGACACAACATAACAAACAAAGGTCAGCAATTAATTTGAATGATTCAAGTTTAAAAGAAGCAGAAACATTTGTTGAAAAAAATATTGAGCCTGAGTCTACAAGGAAACAAAAATATAAAGCTAGGAAGTACTAGGAAAACTGGAGTAAAAAATTCAAATGGTTAAAGAACAAAAATAACTGGGTATTGTCGCTACTGTTTAAAATCTTTAAGAGGTGGGAAGGCACATTTGGTTAGGTATTCTGAGATTTTTATTAAAAAATAAACAAATAAAAGAAGTCGCACCAATAAAGGAAGCTTTAACTTCTAATGACGTTATAAACTTATATATAATATAATCTTAAGTTTGTCCGGTTAAAATTATGTATTAATTTGGCGAAACACAATTTATCTTTTTCACGAATAGATCACGCTACTAAACTATATGGCCAAATTTTTTATGATTCTCAAATTGCTACACAATTAAATATGGCACAAACAAAAACAACTGATTTAGTTGTCAATATTGTTGCACCATACGTTATGTAAATAATTTCAGCAAAATTCAATAAATCTTTTTTTCAATCATTATTGATGAAACCACAGACATTTCAACCAAATAATGTTGATGGTAGCTGTCCGGTTTTTTGATGATGATTACGACAAAGTTCGTAATTATCATTTCGCTTTGCTTGAGTTAGCAAAGGCTGACGCTGAAACAATTACTAATGAAATTCTTAGACTTTTTGAAGCAAATGGAGTAAATATAAGAATTTATTGGGTTTTGCGTCGGACAACGCTTCAGTAATGGTTGGTCAAATTAATGGCGTAAAAGCTAAATTGGAAAATAAAATACCCAATTTGTTTGTGATGCCCCTGTATTTCTCACGCTCTCCATTTATGTGCGTCGAAAGCTTACTCAAAGCTTCCGGAAGAAATGGAGAGATTTTGCCACAAAACTTTTAATTATTTTGCCAAAGGAAAAATAATTTCAGGAATTTCAATTATTTGCCAACTTGAAACCACACAAACTTTTAAGACCATGCCAAACGCGGTCGTTTTTCTGCAAATGGCAGCCAACAGAATATGCGAGCAGTGGCCGGCACTAACTCTCTATTTCCAGGCCGAAATAATGGAGAAAGATGGATCCTTCGCCAATTTCATTTTAAATTCTTTATTAGATTATAGCTTTCACTGTATTTCAAGTTGGTACTAACCAAGTTGGTTTAAAGATGGTACTAACTTTAGTTGTCAAACTAAACACATTTTATCAGTCTGCCACACTTAAATTTTCTACTTTTTTAAATAGTATCAAAAATGCGTACAAAACATACTGAAATGTTTTATAAAATCAAATATTTTAACGAATAAAAAAATCAATGGAATTAATCCCGCTAATTGGAAATATCAATTTAGGTTTAGAAGCTGAAAATTTTATTGTTTCAAAAAATATTAATGCTAGCGTTGTACACGTAGTACGAGTGAAGTACTTGAATTTTATGGTTACTAAATAAAAACTTTTGTACTCGGCTCGAATTATTGTGTTACAATAAAAATGAAATATCGACGGCAATCGGAGCCTGTGCGGATGTCATGCACAAATTAATAAATAGAAATGAGATCTCACATAAAGCTCATTTATTCAATTCTAAACGTTTTGACCCACTTCGGGTCATCTTCAGTAGCTACAACATACAAAAAATTCAAAAAATCAAAGATAATCATTACAAATAAAAAAATATAAACCTCAAATACATTCAATCCGCAAAACAAATTAAATGTTCTTCTCCTCCCTATTCAAACTGTCCGGCCGTCGGAGTGTCTCCCTAACGGTGACCATCGTCAGGAAGAAAGCAGAGCACATAAGTAACTCCTTTACCAACACTAATCAAAGTCACAACAACATTATATAAATTAAACATAAAAAATTCACAAGAATTAAAATTTAAAATTTATTAAATTAATTATTTAATAAATTAAACAAGAGTTTGATTAGATTAAACTTGCGAATCAAATTTCTAAAAGACTGTGTAATTCAGGATGTTACACCGTCTCACCTTAGATTTCTTTCTTGTTATGCTAATAATTTATGTCATTATAAGTCTGTATCGAAACACAAATTTATTATAAGACGTTCTATTAAAGACATTTTAAGAAATAAAATTCATGACGCCCATAGACAAAGGCACAGAGTTAGATTAAATATTTATGACTCGTTCGTTACACATCTCTATCGATCTTCTCGGTGGGTTATTGTAATCGGTTTTCGGTGAGCAAAGCAGATCATTACATTATTTTTATAATAAGGAGCGGGTTCGACTGGATGATAAATTTAAATGGCTCTTAGATAAACAAAACAAATTCAATAATAGAAATATTCGTCCTATCCAATATTATTACACGTGTGCAAAAGAATTTTCTTTCTCTTCAAGGCCATGTGTGTCAGGGCCGTCTCAATCTCTCAGCGTTTCCTTGAACCCGACTTCCTTTGTTTCTTTGAATCCTGGTGTTGCTGATAAAAGAGATAATGGTTTTTGAACTTATCATCCGTATCTATACCGCGTGAAATTCGAGATTTGTTGCAGTTGGGAGAGAACTTCTGTTTGCAGCAACTGATAAAGATAAAACCACCACCAAAGAGTTGTGTTGAAAATATAGAATAAAATATTTTTAAACTCCCGGTGAAAAAAACGATCTGCGGT